CAGATCTCAAATGTCATTTACCGGTTTCCCTGAGAAGACCTTTGGATCACGTCAGAGTGAGTTCAGCTGCCAGACATTTATGTGAGCAGCATTCTTTACAGAAATAAAAACCCTAGCCGGAGTCAGTGGAAAGAGGTGAGAGATCTGAGGAAATAGCCCCTTGGAGAAACATTTCAGGAGAAGAAGAGCATCATGGAATGTCAGAGCTACAAAGGCCTTTACTTATAATAACACCCACACTTTATTTCATGGTAGAGGAATTGAGCAACAGGAAGAAATGCCAGTTGCCTAAGTACATTTCAGCAGGGACAGAATCAGGAGTAAAACCCAGACCCCTTCATTTTCTTCTTTTTTTCTTTTTTCTTTCTTCTGTTATGACATTTTCCCATACTGTGAAGTTATCCCCCAGTAGTTCTGTTGAGGAGTTTGATGAATGAGACCATAGCTTTCCTTCCCTCATCTAGCATTTCCCAAGATTTCTTTTTTAAATCAAACTTTTAATCTTAAAAAAAATTCATTTATTTTAATTTTTTACTTATTGATTTTAGAGAGAAACAGAGAGACAATGATTTGTTGTTCCATTTATGTATACATTAATTGTTTACTTTTTGTATGTGCCTGGACCAGAGATCAAACCCACAACCTTGGCATATCCATATGATGCTCTAACCAACTGAGCTAACCTTTTAATATTTTAAACGAGTTCTTTAATTTTAATTAATTCATAAACCTTACTGTGACAGACTGTAAGATGACCTAAATGATCTCTGCCCTCTGGTATTCAGACTGGCTTCTTTCACTTAGCAGCTCAATCATTTTTAAACTGCTTAAAATTTTAATATGATTTAAAAATAAACTATGAGGCTCTGAATGCTGTGAAGTTATCAAACACTGTTTGATAACGTACTACTCATTCCCAAGTGTCTCTCTTCTAAAAGTCTTCTTCTGAAGAAACCAGAAAGACTAATCAGAAAGGATATATGCACTCCTATGTTCATTGCAGCACAATTTACAATAGCTAAGATTTGGAAACAGCCTAAGTGCCATCAGCAGATGAGTGGATTAAAAAACTTTGGCACATCTACACAACAGAATACTATGCTGCTATAAAAAGGAAGGAACTTTTACCATTTGCAACAGCATGGATGGAACTGGAGAGCATTATGCTAAGCGAAATAAGCCAGTCGGAGAAAGATAAATATCACATGATCTCACTCATGTGTGGGATATAATGATCAACATAATTTGATGAACAAGAATAGATCCAGAGACAAATGGTAGGGGAGGGGAGGGTTAGAGAGCAACCAAAGGACTTGTATGCATGCATATTACCATAACCGATGGATACAGACACTGGGGTGGTGGGGGCTTGCCTGGGGTGGGAATGGCTGGGGTGAGGAGGGGTGGTCAATTGGGAAAAAGAAGACATATGTAAAACTTTAGACAATAAAAATGTCTTCTTCCTGGGAGAGTGAAACTCAAGAATGAGATGGAGATCAAGATTGGCTTGAGTCTGGAATGTCTGCGGTGCTGTCTGTTACTGCTTTGTTTCAACATATATGCTATTTTGAAGCTGCCACTTGATGCAAACAGTTTTGTCCCATCAATTACATATCCTGTGGGCTGGTGGAGCTGCAGAATCCACAAGCAAGCACCTGCCTCCAGGTCAAGGGAGGGAGCAGTGATTCGTTTCCTCCCCTACATCCCCCAAAACATAAGCAGTGAGAGAAGAGGTGCAGCCCTGCTTCTTCAGAACCTCCTTAATCTGGGGGTTACACAGCTACTCAGCTTGCACATTCTCTGAGTGTCAAGTAAAAGGGAGAGGAACAAATCCCTATGAGAATCCCAGATGGGACAAGTTGCTGGTAGCCCACTACCAGGGAAAAAGCTTCATGTCAGATTTAGGAATTCTGCTTTTGGCCCACCTTGTGCCAAAGAGCATCAATCAGCAATGCAGCTCTTCTGTGCCCTAAGCCCCGTGTGTGCTGTTATCCTGCTGGGCCTTCTGTGGCTCTATGACAAGGCACTGTTTGGGTTCCTTTGGTGATATACTAGTTTGTGAACCTGAAAACATATTTTTATTTTTCAAAGTCAGTGTGTCATCCATCGCCTGCTGGATAGTAAGCAGAACGCCTTATGGAGAACTCGTTGCCAAAATATCACATGTTGTCTCTGGGAGAAAATGAAATCAATACCTTGTTAATTATAAAATGATTGATTCCATGGTCAGTAATGACTTTTAATCAGTAGCATGTCACAGTTATGAAATATACACATGTAATACAGAGCAAGAGTCAGGGGAGAAGATAGTAAAATGAAAATAGTAAAAGCCTCTCACTGAACGCAGAAGGACTGCAGAACACAATGCTTAAGAGCTGCTGCTGCAAAGCAGACTCCCTGCATTCTACTCCACACTCCACCTCTGATTGGCTGGCTGGCCTTGGGCACAGTTGTCTTGTATAGGTCGCTGGGCTAATGATAGAGCTCACATACCAGGTTCTTAAAAACATTAAATTAGTTGATATATAAAATTGCTTGGCTAAATGCTTAGCATATAGAAAAACTTTGATAAACATTAGCTATAGTTATGACTATTGAATCAAGTATTTATATAATAATATATCAGCAATTTTTTCTCCTTAAGTACATAACTGATAGAAATGTATGTACATGTGTACTGCAAATATACAGGTTAATGTTTGTTAGCGTTTTATTTGTAATAGCCAATAGAATCTCAACAATCAAAGAGTCAGTCAATGAACTATACATATTCCACAAATACATTTTCATGAGAAATATTTTTGTAATATTCAATATTTTCATATATAGAAGTTACATTTAGGACAAAGGAAGATTGCAGCAATGGGGAGAAAAATCTTTTGGTACAGGTGCTGGAACAATTGGATAAGCACATAGAAATAATAAATAAAATGTGACCTCTACCACACGCCTTATGCAACAAAATCAATTCCAGTAGACTTTGAATCTAAATGCCAAAGACAAATGATAAATCTTCTGGAAGATAAAGGAGGAGAAATTTTTCATGCCTTAGGAATAGGGAAAAGTTTTTTTGAAAGAAACAAAAACATAAACTATGGAAAAACACTTAACAATAAATCTGACTGCATTAAAATTAAGAATTTCTGAATAATTCAAAACATCATCTAATTGTGTAAAGTTCAGCCACAAACATTTGAAATGTGAATACATATTACTGTCAAAGGGCTCATCCAGAATAGAAAAACAAATCATTAGAAATGGCATCAGTAATTATGGAGGCACAAATTAAATTCCAGGAAATTATGACTAAGCACCATGCCACAAAATGACTAAACATAATTTATATATTTTTTAAAGACTGATAAAGTTATGGAGCAGGGGAAACTTCAGTGTTACTGGTAGATATTTAAGTTGACTTAGAGTGTTTGGCATTATCTAACGAAGTGGAAAGTAAGCATTTCCTGTGAGTTAGCAATTTTGCTCTTAGTTTACAGATTTGGTAGAAATGGATGCACATGTGTATTGCAAGATACATTAATAAATATTTATTGTGGCTTTATTTGTAATAGCCAAGACTGGAAACAGCCTAAATATCCACAATTAGTAGAAAGCATAAATAAGTTTTGTTGTGCTCATATAATCTTATAATAGTGAAAATGTGAACTATAAATATATGAAACTATAAATATATGAAAATTAGGACTGGATTTTATGCTCATAATATTAAATAAAAGCAGCCCAGACACAAAGTATTCATTGTATAATTTGCATATCCATAAAGTTCTATAGCAGACAGAACTAAATAAAGTGTTTAAATGATATGTTTTTTGGTGATAAAATTAAGAAAAGTAATGAAAGAGTGCCATAATCATAGGTTTGTAATGACTTTGGGAAAGGGGTATTTCCAGGGCATCATGGATAAGAGGTGATAAGGGAGGGCTTCTGTATGAGTTGGTGAAATTCTGTTTCTTGACTTAAGTAGAAATTTCCAGATAGCTCTCGAACTGCTAGGAAATTTTTTGAATCTCAAAGATGCCTTTATGGGGAAAATGGAATAGAGAGTTGATACAATGTTTAAGTAGTTTGATGGAAAATATGGAGAAAGGAGGCCAACATATATAACAGCTAAGAACATGGAGCTGGAGTCAAAATTGGATTTAAGTCCTGGCTCTTCAGTGATCTTGGGCAATATACCGGTAAAGCCCCCACTCTTTGAAGACTATCAGGAGAATCTTGTGATCAATAAGGCTGATTTTATTAAAGTTACAGTAAATAAGGATACCACCTGGGTAGTATTAGTAGCGTTTTAAAAGGTGAAGTCAGAGAGGAGTTTTCAAACAGTTCCAGGACCTTAGGGTAAGTCTCACAAGACAGAAATTGGGTAGAAAATTGAGCAGAATCTGAAAAATCGCTGAAGTGGGTGGGGAGAGCAAGGTGCAGACCTTAAAGTGGTGTTGATAAGTCAGCTGTTTTAGTTGGATCACAACCTTATGTTCTGGGAGCTGACAGCCAGCAAGGAAATGGGAACCTCATGGTGCAGGCAGCTCAGAAACTATTGTTTGGTTTAGTGTTATTGAACAGAGGTTTAGGAAAATAATGTCTGGTCTACATATCATTTAATAATGGAAATAACGTTGATTTCAGTTCTCAGTACTCATGCTTTTTAAGCCATAGTACCTTTATCTTTGAAATGCAAGTTGTGAATGTTAAATAAGATAATACAGGGCTATATTGAATAAAATATGTGCATTTTGATGCCAGCATCAGAGAACCCATGTTCTGGTATTAGACTGCCCAATTCCAAATCCTGTTTCATCACTTCCTAGCTTGTCTCCTTCAGTGGATTGCAAATGTTTAAAATAATCTTTACCTACCTTATAATTAGAATGTAAAAACCCATATTTTGATATTGGATTGCTAGTACATAAATAGAAGTGACTGAAATCAAAATGTGTGTGCTTGTCTAACCCCACTATTAACAATCATTGTTTTATTTGCAGAATGACATGAATTACATAGCATCCAGTGGACTTCTATTCAAAGATGGCAAAAAGCGGATTGATTACATTCTGGTTTATAGAAAGTCAAATATACAGTTTGACAAAAGAAACACATTTGAAAAGAACCTCAGGGCAGAAGGCTTGATGTTGGAAAAGGAGGTAGGTGTTTTAATAATCTTAATTGTGTCATATAATATGCTGAAAGAAAGATGTTCTTTTAGGTTTTAGTATGAAAAGTGTGTAGCACATGGCTTTATAAAATGTATAGTTATTTTCTCCCAAATAAAAAAGAAATACCTACTATGTATGGTCTATTTAAATTTGTATTCCTTTTATACTCTGTGCCTTTCTGTAAATTTATTTTTTTCAAAGTGAATAACAGTTATTACATTTTTTTAAATTGAAGGTGAAATAATTATCTACTTATATAAAAACCATGGGTGGTGTTCGTCACATACAGACAAACAGCCATGACCTAGCAGAAGGAAGTCAGTCCTACAGGGGTTGTCTTGGCAACGGCTGCGCCCTCCCCTCAGCTGTTTCCCGGAGCTGTTTCCTGTAAGGGCAGAGTTTGAGGCAGGAACCCGCCCTGGGAGCATGGAGGCAGATCTTTATAAAGTCTGCCGTGACAGCATGGGGTGAACCTGAGTGGGGTGGCTGAAAGGCTTAGAAAAGACAGACAAGAGAATGAAAGCCAGGTCTCGGTGGGACACTGCTTCTCTGAGAGACAGTGACCACGCCCATAGCCATGCCTTTATTTTATAGCAGATGCTATGAAACAAAGTAAGGGCGTGACCAAGATGTTTACAAACATTCTCCTGGGTTTCAATCCTACTCAACTACATGCGCCCTGAACTCTATCAAGCCCACATCACTCAGGCACGTGGGGCCACGTGTTCAGACCATAGGTTCAAGCTTACAATTACAACTGTTGGCTATAATTGTGCTGGGAGGGCCCTGCCCTCCAAGCTGGGACTTGCACGTGGCAATGAGAGGACTGTGCCCTCTCATCAGTCCAAGGCTTGAAACTGTCCAAAACACTGTAGCGGCTCTGCACAATAAAGTCTTAATTCTATTTCTTTGTTACTAATGTTGTGGCCCCACCCCATAACAAAGAAACAAAGGAAAATTTCCCCATCGAATTTCTGAATAGTATTACTCCTTCGGGAATGCCTTGTCATAAATTAAAATTGAAAGTGGGTGCAATCATCATGCTATTGAGAAATCTCAATAGTAAATGGGGTCTTTGTAATGGCACCAGATTTATTATCAAAAGATTACAACCTAACATTATCGAAGCTGAAGTATTAACAGGATCTGCAGAGGGAGAGGCTGTTCTGGTTCCAAGAATTAATTTGTCCCCATCTGACACTGGCCTCCCATTTAAATTGATTTGACGATGGTTTCCCATGATGCCAGCATTTGTGATGACTATTAATAAATCACAAGGACAAACTCTAGACAGAGTAGGTATGTTCCTACCTGAACCCGTTTTTGCACATGGTCAGTTATATGTTGCTTTCTCTCGAGTTTGAAGAGCATGTGATGTTACAGTTAAAGTTCTAAGTACTTCATCACAAGGGAAATTAGTCAAGCACTCTGAAAGTGTTTTCACTCTTAATGTACAGGGAGATATTAGAATAAATTAAATCTCTTTATCAGTCATTGTTTGCATCACTGTTGTTTTCATATCATGTTTTTGTTGTTTTCATATCATGTTTTTGTTGTTTTTATATCATGCCTCTGCTGTTGTTATATCCTTTTGTTACTGTTTATTAATAAATTTATATATGATTTTCATATATATTTTACTAATTTCCTTTCATCTCTCACATTTCTATTATAGAGAAAGGGCAAATAGCAATATTAAAATATCTCTGCTAATTAATTCCTTTTTTTTTTTTTTTAGCAGTGCACGAGGGTTTCTTGTTCTCTGCATCCTCGCCAGCACTTGTTTTTTTTTTTTTCGCTAAAAGTATTACAAAGGGTATTACATAAGTGTCCTTTATTCCCCCCCACCCTTGACAAGCCCCTGCCCTCCCTTACCCCCCAGTGTCTTATGTCCATTAGTTATGGTTATATGGATGCATACAAGTCCTTCGGTTGATCTCTTACTCCCCTCCCTCCTGTCCCCCAACCCTCCCTGGCCTTCCCACTGCAGTCCGACAATCAGTTTGAGGCAGCTCTGCCACTGTATTTATTATTGATCAAAAGTTTGTAATGGTCTTAATTATCCAGAAAGAGTG